TAACTATTACACACACAAAAATAGAGCTAATAAATGAATTCAACAAAGTTGCAAGATGCATATGAACACATAAAAACCAGTTGTACTTCTCTACAATGACAACAATCTGTCCATAAAAAAAATCAACACAAAATTCCATTTACAATAGCATTAAAAAGAATAAAATACTTAGAACTAAACTTAGCTAAGGAGGTGAAAAACATACACATGAAAACTACAAACATTGATTAAAGAAATTGGAGAAGACACAAATAAATAACAAGATACCCACATTCATGGATAGAAAAAAATTGACATCAGTAAAATGTCTATACTGTCTAAAATGTTCTACACATTCAGTGCTATTTCCTTCAAAATGCCAATGGCGTCTCTCTTTTTGTTCTTCTGTATGCAAATGTGGGACAGTAAGAATACAATCATTTTGACACCATTCCTTGATACATATAAGGGAGCCAGCAGTTTTACACACCATTGCATTAGTTTCATCAGTACAAATGTCACTAGTGAAAAAGTCAAATAATGCCCTAGTGTTATTGTGAAAATAGTTTGGACCTTGAAACCCCTTATGAAAAGGGGTCTACAGAACATTCTTTAAGAACCACTGTTCTCTAACTCACAATGGGCCAGGACAGTTTCATACCTATTCTATCTGCCTGGAAATCCCTTCTCTCTTCATTTTGCGGAGAACTCTTACCGTTTTTCAAAGGCCCAATCCAAACATCATCTTCTTGAAACTGACCCTGACCCTTCCCTCCCCCACCCAAGTTATCATCTTGCCTTTTGTCTTGCCATAGTGTTTTCTTGGCATGTACTGCTGCTACAGTACTTAGTGCTGCACTTTTTGTTTGCATACTTTTATTAGATAACTCAATAATTTAATGAGGCTGGAATTTTATCATTACCTACCAGGAAATCATGACAATGGTTGTTTTGTTCTTATTGTTGTGCATGATTTTCAACTGTTTAAACAAAATAGTTCTGTCATTGGCCTACTTTGCATTATACATGGCATATTCAGTTCCTATACAATTGTAGTTCTTAGTCAGATTCTCTTATTTATTTATTATTTTCACATATATTCTACAAAGAAGAAATAATTTACCTATCCAATCCCCATGATAAATATACTGAGAGCATAGTATTTGGGGTGAAACGTTTTGTCTTTTTGTGCCCTTCTTTTTAAGTTCAAATAAAGCTTATTTACTAAAATTTTCCACTTATCATCAAAAGAAGAAAATAACTTCAATATCTTAACAATAAATTCGCTCATATGAAAAAAAACATTTTATAACAGCGATATACTTATTTCATCTGATGATTTTAAATGGAGTGTTATCGATATAATCAATGCATTTTTCATTTTGTATACTATTCATTTTTAAGGCTTGTTGATAAAAAAGAATACTCTTAACAGATTGTGCTTTTAATTGAAGAATTTTTTTGTCTATTAAGACTATTATGGGCATGGCCCTTTTATGCCATATGTGTTTGAAATTTCCATCCTGCCAGAAATAATTTTTTTTTTCAAATCAAGAGAATTATCTCTTCTCAGAAAAATATTCTTGTACACAGAAAAGCAATCATCTCATTAACTAGAATGTGAAATGAGACAAATGACAGAACAAACAAGGAACAAACACATTGTCATACAGGAAGAATGTGCTTGCGTGCAATGCATTACTGCCGCTAAGACAAATAATTTGATGTATCAACAAAAAGTAATATACTGGGTGAGATATTTTATAGATGTGTGTGGGGGTGTATGTGTTTGAAGGATGACTATTCTTGTTGGTAAGTGTTCATTATTTTATTTCAACCTAGGGAGAATGACTATTTTAATTCAGATATAATTCAGTAAAGACCACTGTGTAATCATTATAGCCATCAACAAACTGATTCATGTGCAATTGGTCCAAAAGTTGCAAAAGCTGTTTTCTGAGTTCTTGTTTGTACCCACCATCTTAAGATTACATCAGAATTAAAGCATGCAGGACTTGAACTGACTTCAAAGACTAAACTTAGACTTCTAGCTAGTTTAGCTTTTTTCTTTTATTGGTTCATGTTTTCCATTTGGCTCCCATATCCTGTTCTAACTTGATGCCCCTTCTAGAATTTCATTTACAAATCTTACAACTTTGGTTGGTGAAACACACTAATTAATACTGTTGTGGAGGCTGAAGATTTTAGCAATCTCATGACTTCTGCTTGGAAAAATGTCTGCTGTTTTTCCGCTCAAGTTTAGCACCATATTGAACACAGCAAATGTATCCTACATGAAACTCTAAATTCATTTAATCAAAATGCATTTAAGGAGGACTGTTTACACTGTTATCTGTTGACAATACTATTTTTTAAAAAAATATTTATTTTTTAGTTGTAGCTGGACACAATACCTTTATTTTATTTGTTTATTTTTATATGGTGCTGAGGATCGAACCCAGGGCCTTGCACATGCTAGGCAGGAGCTCTACCACTGAGCCACAACGCCAGACCCTGTTGCCAATACTATTAATCATAAAACTCAAAACTTTCAATGCAACAGAAATTTTAAAATCTACTTTCTTTTTTAAAATATGTTTTAGTTGCCAATGGATTTTTAACTTTGTTTATTCATATGTGGTGCTGAGGATCAAACCCAGGGCTTCACACATGCTAGGCAAGCGCTCTACCACTAGCCATAACCCTAGCCCTTAAAATCTACTTTCTTTTAATTAAATTTATTTTCAAGCAAAATGATAAAGTAAAAACAGGCCATTTTATGATTTCTAAAAATTCCAAGTAATGCTTAAGCAACATTCCAGCTTTTAAAAACAGGTGATTCTACAGGCTTTGTAAATTTCTTATGATGATACTAAGCAGTATTAATTTAAGGGACAAACTCCAGTTTCATAGGTTCTTGGCTTGCCTGAGAACCCTATGGAGCCCACTAAGTTCCTATCTGCTTGAGGAAGCTTTATATGTGATGCAATTTTCAATAGATTTTGGTTAGTGCATACATCACATTTTACTTGGAATTGAATAAACCTAAAATTACTTGTGTTCATTTGCCTTCCAAGCTTATAGAGATCTATATGGTACCATCTATTTTGGGTTACTTCTTAGATTAGTTTATCTGTAGGCCATCTTGTGATGCTGTTAGTAAATGTCCATTTAGTATTTCTGAGCAGCATGTCAAGACCATGCTTTTAGCAGGTTTTAAATCTTTGAAAGAATAGTAGGGTGTTCTGTAAGCACTGTACTTTGTAGATCATGAGATTACAGTTCAGTTTCTAGCTCTTAGATTTCTCCAACTCTAGATGAGTGAGAATGAGAAAAAGACAAACTACTTTTGAAACTCCAAATTCACTGAGGTGGGATAGCACTCTTGTTGAGTTGGCTAACTTGGCTACATTCATTGGCTATCTATAAAACAGGGGAAGATGGAAAGGATGTTTTGTGAATATGTGCTGTAGATTTAGCGATTTACACTGCCAATTTAAAAGCTCTATTTTTCCAGGTTCTCATATTGTCCAAATCCTCATGTATTTGAAAGCTTTATGTGTCCCTGGAGACCTCCTGATGAATGTGATTCCATCACACTTCCAAGAACCTGGAGATCCAGGATTAGCTAGTGAAAAGATAATTTATAATACATTTGCCCTGAGTTCTGATTGGCAGCATTTGTTAATATAGCCCCTGTGTTTTCTCTGATGTGTGTGTGTGCGCAAACACAAAGGAATGACAAGTTGGTTCCAAAACAACAATTTTTAAAAATACAAGAAAAAAAACCTGCCTGTGGCTTCCTTAAAACTGTTTCTCCTCAAAATTTAAAAATATATTTTTTGTCATGGCATGCTCCAAATTTTCTAACATTTAAATGAAAGTTTGTTTTGAAAAATAGAGAAATGTAATTCAGAAATGTATTCTCTGGCTTCTACTTCTAAAACACTTGTCACAGTCATCAGGGGCTTAACATTATGCCATTGGTATCCATATTCCTATTTTACTAGAGGGAATACAAAGGAAGGCCTCAAATGATAAAATGTGTTGCTTATGTTTTTTCTCACACTCTTGTGCAAAATGAATGGCAAAGTTATGATCAGAACTAATAACATCTAAATGTCCCTACTGTAGTGATGATGACGATGATGATTGTTGACATTTATTAAGCAATTTTTTCCTGATATCAGGGACTGAATCCAGAAGTGCTCTGTCACAGAGCCAACATCTCCAGCCCTTTTCATTTTTTATTTTGCAACAACCTCTCACTAAGTTGCTGAGGCTGGCCTGGAACTTGTGATCCTCCTGCCTCAGCTTCCCTAGTCTCAGGGATTACAGGCATGTGCCACCCTGCTCAGGTATTAATACATTTTCATGTTCAAAGCTGCTTCATGTATTCCTCACAGCAACAAATAAAAACATTATTTTGCCTATGATATAATGGTGCACAAAGAGGTTAAGTAATTTGTCCATGGTTATGCTGCTACAGCTTGTATCATTAAAAAATGATGGCTTGCATCATTAATTCCTCTTCAATCCATGAAAGACCTACTCAAATTGGCATCATTTTGGAGGCCAATGGCACCAAAATGTGGTGTGAGGGAAGTTAAAATCTGAGTCTCATATAAAGCAAATTAATCTTCTCATTTTGACATCAATGATAACACTGTGTATTTCCTATAAATTAAATAGTTTACTAAGTACTAAATTCAGATCTCATACCTTTGTGGGAGGTAGGTAGAACAATCTCTTTAGAAGCCTTTGACTTTTCTTAAATGTGATGCTTGGCTTTGGCTTTAGACCTGAGTACTTGGCCTAAAGGCACACTGACTCTGAAAACATTGTTTTTTTCTCTATTAAAATACTATTTGAGCTGCCTGCACCACTACTGTCATTGCTGCCTCTGATTCCACTGCTGTCAGCCTGAGGTTGCTTGGAGGTCTTCTTTCAGAGCTGATGCAGAAGCCACTGCCGTGCCTGGAGGTCTCTTCTCTGGGCACGACCTCAGTTATCTCGGAAAGGAATTCCCACACTACCTCTGTGGTCACTGCTGCTGAACTGGAAGTGTCCTGTCAACCAACTGCCTGCTGTACCTACTGCCTTTGTTGCTGCCTCTGATTCTGCTGCTGCCAGCCTGAGATCACCTGGAGGTCTTCTTACTGCTGCCCCAGAAGAAACCACTGCCCTGGATGTAACTGAAGCCGACACTTCGCTGCTTACCCTGGATTGGCTGCCTGGTGACGCTGCCCCACAGCTGTAGTTACTGTGCTGCTGCAGCCACCACTACTGCTGACCCACTGCCTGCTGCCAGCCACCACCACCACTACTGCGCTACCACAGCCTAGAGGACTGCTTCCAAGGAGACCCCAGGTTGGTTGCACGTGGCTGCATCCATTTTGGGACACCAGCCAGGGCCTGGGGTCTGGGTGCCAGCAGGTTTACCACCACAGGAGCCTCTATCTGGGGACTCTAGCCGGGACCTATACTAAAGACAAAATAAATAATCTTGAAAATAGAATTGAACATATGGAGAAGATGGTAAGAAACCATGAAGAGAACATCCAGGAATTATGGGATAACATGAAAAGACCAAATTTAAGAGTTATTTAACTAGACGAAGGAGAAGATGAAGGTTTCTAAACCAAAGGAATGCATAATCTTTTCAATGATATAATAACAGAAAATTTCCCAGCAAATGAAACAATTAATAATGAGAAGAGAGCCTACAGATTGGGAGAAAATCTTTACCACATGCAGCTACAATTAAGCTACAATCAATCTCTAGGATATATAAAGAACTCAAAAAACTTAACACCAAAAAAACCAAATAACCCAATCAATAAATGGGCTAAAGAACTGAACAGACACTTCACAGAAAAAGAAATACAACTGATCAACAAATATATGAAAAAGTGTTCAACATCTCTAGCAATTAGAGAAATGCAAATCAAAATTACTCTAAGATTTCATCTCACTCCTGTCAGAATGGCAATCATCAAGAATACAGGCAACATTTCAGATAGCTGGGATTACAGGCCTGTACCATTGCCCAGTCCCTTTTGTTCTTAATAGGAGCTAGTGGGAAGATCTAACTAGATGAATTGTATCAGGAATCAAACAGGCATCTAAAATAGAATGTGATAAATACTGTGTGAAGTTGTTGCAGGCACATTAAGAAAGGAGAGTTGATTTATTTCAAGAGAAGGAGAATGGGGCATGTAGAGTTAATAGCATGTTCAAGTCATATGTAGAGAGAGTTAGGCATATTTTGGGAATGTAACAACTTGGTTTAGCTTAACTCAAGTAGAGACAGTTGAGATATAAGGAAGAACTAGAATGATATACTATAATAAAGGGTCTTGTCTATAATGCTAAGGAGTTTAGACTTTATTAATGGCCATAGCACAGGATAGCTAGTTATAGTTTCAAATGATCATTTTGGCCATGGTGTAAAAGATACACTGGAGAGGGAAAACCTGAAATAGGGTGTTAAAACCAAGGACTTGTCAGACAAGTCAGAATTAGGCCAGTTTCAAATGATTTTCAAGAAAAGAGTAATTAGAGATACCAGATAACTGTTACATAACACTTTGTTTTTTAGAAGGTTTTTAGATGATTCTTGCATTGACTCAACCCTTTGATGGTCACAGCATTCTATGAATAAAGAAACTTTACAAAGGATGCTACTCAGAGGCACATTAAGTAAATTGCCCAAAGTCACAAAGCTAAAAATTGATGGAGCCAAGATTTGAACCTAGGCAGCTGGATTTTTAGAATCAGTGCTTTTAAACAAAATATGGAACTACCAAACAGTCAAATCTAAGTACCCCCAAAAAATGTATTTTGAATTTAACAACCAGAAACTTAATCCTGTAGGCTGAAATGATTCCAGAGAGCTGGGGACAAAGTCAGATTGCAGTGAGTTGAGGATTGGCACATTGTACACACATCTGGTTATTTAAATGTCTTTAACAGTGATCATTAAGCTTTGTGAGAAATCTTTGAAAATCTGACGAAATATATGTGCCTTTACCCCAGAAAATATTCTTATGTACATGCATATCAAGTGTCACAAACCATTTCAGGCTATTCAAGGACCCTAAAGCTTTTTCATGACCTAGTGGTCGATGGTCCCTCTCTGTTAAGAACTCCAATATATAGGATGTGGGACTCAAAGGTTAAGAACCCAGAAGCTTTGGACACTATCTAGTTGTGGTGAGTTTGAAAAATTCTACAGTTTGAACAAACTTTTTGGATGAGATGTATTCTTGAAAAACTATGTGTACGAATACGTTTATATCAAATAATATTTCCCCGTACTACAATCAGAAAAAAAAAAAAGAATACAGGCAACAATAAACGTTAGTGAGGATATGATCATATCTCATTTGCACTCATATCCTATTGGCCATATGAGGATATGGTACATTGCTGCTGGGACTGCAAATTGGTGCAACCACTATGGAAAGCAGTATGGAGGTTCCTCAGAAAATTGGGAATGGAACCACCATTTGACCCAGCTATTCCACTCCTTAGTTTATATCCAAAGGACTTAAAATCAGCATACTATAGTGATGCAGCCACATCAATGTTTATAGCAGCTCAATTCACAATAGCTAGATTATGAAACCAACCTAGGTGTCCCTCAATAGATGAATGGATAAAGAAAATGTGGTATATATACTCAATGGAATACTACTCAGCTTTAAAGAAGAGTAAAATTGTGGCATTTGCTAGTAAATGGTTGGAATTGGAGAATATCATGCTAAGCGAAATAAGCCAATCCCACTAAACCAAAGGCTGAATGTTTTCTCTGATATGCGGATGCTAATTCACAAAGGTGGGGGGCACTAGAGAAGAATAATGTTAACTTAGATTAGGTAGAGGAAGTGATGGGAGGGTAAAGGAGAGGATGTGGGGATAAGAAAGATAGTGGAATGAAACAGACATTATTACTATATGTATATATATGTGACTACATGACCAATATGATTCTGCAACATGTACACTTAGAAAAATGAGAAATTATATCCCATCTATGTATGATCAAAGTACATAAATGCTTTCTATTGTCAGTATAACTAATTAAAACACTTAAAAAATTAAAAATACTATTTGATAATACAATGTTCATGGATGTATTTTTATATATAAGAATTGATTTAGCCTCTTGAATCCTCAAAGTATGGAGTAAGTAATTCAGTCTTTTAAATCTGAAAATTGTTTTGAATAACCTACAAGATTGACTTTAATAACAGATTTAACGGCTACTTAAATGGGTATGTGGGTACGTGCATGTGTGTGAACTTTGACACCTAATGTTAATGCATATGCTCTGATAGTGTTCACAGTTGATGATGATGTGAATGCTATGTAGCTTCCTCTTTATCTTTAAAAATAGTCTTATCAAGTGCTAAGATCGTCAAGATAGGCCAGGTTATACTATTGTAATAAACCCTGAAATCTAACTGACTTAAAATCACAAAGCTTTTGTTTATTTGCTGGTTTTCTTATTACAGCCTTAGTAAGTCAGTCAGCTTTCCTTTGTGGCTCTCCCTCAAGCAGTTACTCAGGGTTCTAGGCTCCTTACATCTTGGCAGGTGGCCATCTGAACAGCATGACCTCCAGGATCATGTGAAAGGAGGAGAGAGACTGAGTCAAGTGTGCGAGGTGTAAGGGGTAAGGTCGCATTTTATGGAGAGGTCAGAAATCATATATCTCATTTGCACTCACATCCTATTGGCCAGAACTCAGTTACATGGCCCTAACATAATTGCTTGGAAGGTGGGGAAATGTAGAAATGCAGGATAACTAGGATAAGAAAAATGAAATAGAGTTTGGCAAACAGCATTTTCTCTGTCACAGTTGAGGATCAACTTCTTGGAGATCAAAGTGAGGAGGCAGAAACTACAACTGGGTTGCAATTACCTAGCTTCATACAAAATGTAGAGTGTCCCTAATTCAGTACATAAATTCCTTCTTCTACCTTAAGAATGTTTAGGGCTTAGTAGCTGCTAGTTTCACACAGTCTTAGAGCTAGTAATCAAAGGAAAATGGGTTACTAAATTTACCACATATTCCAAAAGCTGAATGGTACTTGGGTACCACTTAGATTCTTGATGTTTTAGCTTTGATGTTACGAATTTACAGATTATTTTTTCTGTATCTTCAGTGCATGATAAGATTGCTAAAATTATAGGAAGCACAAAAATAAGATTTACATGTATTTCCTATCATAGAAAGAACTTGAAGTGGCAATTGTCGGACATAGCTTTGAATACCTTTATTACTCACTATATAAAAAATGAGTGTATAAGAATTTAAGGAATATTTGGGGACTTCTGGTGCTGGACATGAAGGAATAACTAGTAGCAGACCTCCCCTCCTACTGTAAATATTTGTTAAACTGAACAAAATAATCAAAGCAACTTTTTAGGCATTGAATGGTACACAGTGCATGACTACAATCCTGAGAGAAAAGAAGTTTAAAATGGGAACTTTATTTTTTCTTGGTAATAAATTTTATTTTGAATTGACACATAATTATCCATGTTTACTGATTCAATGCGATATTTTGATAAATGTATATATATTTTAGAATGTTCTAATTGGACTAATTAATATATCCATCATATCACATGCTTATCATTCTTTGTGGTGAGAGCATTTAAAGTCTACTCTTTTAGCTCTAAAAATCAGAACTTTACATTCATCTTGGGGACATTTTCCAAATCTCTTGAAGGAAATTGGAGCAGATAAATAGATTGAGGTTTTTAAGTTGCAAAGGTGCCTAGAAATTGTAGGACAGGATATACAGATAGGAAGGAGTGTCAGTAAACTGCATGAAGGTATCTTTTGGCACTTGGCCAAATCCTAGGCTGCATATGTTTTAGAAAAGATTCTGCAAGTCATATCAGAAAACAATAGCTGGAGGAGCTGAAAGCTAACCCAAGATTTTAGAATTTGTACAGCAGCACTGTGAAGACACTGGAGTTCTGATCTGCTCAGAGTGGAGATATCTTATTGAGACTTCGAAATGGTCATGCCCTGGAAGTAAGAATCATTCCATGTGTACAAGGTCTACATTCTAGAATTAAGGCAACCCTTCAATAGATCCATCCTAAGAGCCTAAAATAAGCCTTAGCTAAATAAAATTAATTCAACAGTAATTTAACTTTGTTCCAGGAAAAAAACAAACAAAAACCCTCAACACTCTTAAGAGGAAGGTAACAAAATACAGAATTTCTCTGACAACTACAT